TCTCTGGCCTTTGCCAGTAGCTTCTCTCTGGGCTATTCTCAGTCCCTGCAATCTACTTTAGCAAGTCCTCAGGATCCAGCCAGTCACTTCATCCTCCTTCCTCAGTTGCTCTAAAGAAATCCCTTTAGCATCCCCAGACTCTCTTTACATTACCCTGCCCAGGGATTTCCAGCATACATCTGCATGTTAAAGGCAAGCGCCATCTGGTCCACAAAACTCCTCATAGCCTCCCTCTTAAATATTAAAACTATTCAAAATTATTTACTTACAGATGTTCTCCAAATGTTTTTAATGCACACATACCACTACTACAGTAAATGAAGTTAAAACAAAATTCTACTTCAGCATTCTAACACACCAAATGCTTTCATTTTTTATGACTCACATTTAATTCTCGTTTATAATGAAATCAAAATGTAAGTAAAATTTTTAATCCTGCTTTTCTAACTTAACATTATATCAAATATATTTTCATGACTATCATAATTATGACTTTTAATGACTACAAAATATTCCATGGAGTTAATGCTGCCAGAGTTTCTGTTGGTTAATGTTCAGGTTATTTTCAGATTTTGCTGTTATACATGATAATAGTCAATGTGTTCATGCATGTTATTTCTTCCTTCTTTGAATTATTTATTTAGGACAAACTTCCAGAGATGGAATAGATGAATTAAAGTGTATGAACATTTTAATGGCTCTTGATACATATTGCCAAATTGTCATATTTTTATTTTACACAATTCCTCAGACTCTCAGAAAAAAAAAAGGGTGGGGTGCCTGATTTATTGTGTTTGCAGATTTTCATGGTATAAATACTCCGACTGTGGCTAATTTCAAGCTACCAACAAAGCATCACTGAATGCAGAATTGAAAAGAGATGCTCAAGCAACACACCACTATATAGTATTTCCATCATACAAATAAATTGAAGTAAATAACTTCAGTAGCTTGCAAATTTCTGAAAATATTATAATCAGCTTTTGCCAGCAAGTACAAACTGGCTATAGAGCACCACTGTAAATATATCACTTGATATTTTGCAAGAACACATCTCTTTTTTTTTTTTCATTGAAGCCATTGAAAATTCATCTTATTCCCATATGTGTGGCAAATGAAGACCATGCAGATCACGCAAATAATGAACAAAACATAATGAATAAAACATAATGCAAAAAAAGTATACAGTGGGATACCTATCTCCTATCTGGTTGATTAATTCTGCCTACCCATTCCCAAGCATTCATTTTACAGTGGTTTTTTTTTTTTTTTCCATGAGGTCATGTATACAAACTATTCATTTACTGTAACAATGAACTGAATGAATAACTACATGTACTTCTCATGGCAAATGTGATGAGAATTATATTGCCTATTACTTAACCACTCTCTTCCTTGGTTTTCTTTTCTACGAAATGGGGAAGAGGTCAACGCTGACTTCAGTTTTACAAGAAACTAAGTGCAGAGATAAAAAGGCCACAACTTAACGCTCTAAGAAGCAATTGAGCATTTGGTAATGCTCTGGAAATTTCTTCCAAAAGTAATTAATTAGTATTCTATTTTACTGGAAAAGAGAGATGGAAAAGTGATTTGGCACCTTCTCCCTTAGCAAAATTTTTTCTTTGGGCTCTCCTGAGTAATAATATATAGCCTCTACATGTATATATAACTTCAGAGTTTTTTAAGAAGTGGTGCCCTATGTTTGCATGTTAAAATATAAATATGACTGAGCTAAACATGCTCATACCCTTGACCCAGTCATCCTATTCCCAGGAACTACTCCCGAGGAAAAAATTTGAAACAAAGGAAGATACTTTCTGTGTGAAGATATGAATCACAATGGAGAGAAGATCAGTTTGCCTCATTTCAGCACTTCCTCAACTTACCATCTCAGTGCTTGTGGCCCTGGTAGGAGAGTTCTGGATTAATGGCTCCCAAATTCCCACGTTTAAAACAACTGCCTCCAAGTCATGTTAGGACTTGTATTTATATCACACAGATTCCTGGACCCCACTCCAGTTTGTTTCTATAACAAATAAATAACTTGTCCCTCCTGGCCTTTCTCTGTTCTCACACCCTTTTCCTATCAAAAGCCCTTAGATTCTGGGCCTCTAGGTAACAGCCTAGATGGACATGAAAATTCTTAAATTCCTATTTCTTTTTTTTGGCGGCTAGCTAGTACAGGGATCTAAACCCTTGACAGTGTTGTAACACTATGCTCTAACCAACTGAGCTAACCAGCCAGCCCAAAAATTCCTATTTCCTAAAACCTCCCCAAGTGGTTCTGATGCTCAGCCAGCTTTAGGAACCACTGTCCAGGCCAGACCAGACAAATCAATATCGTCTCTGAACAACTGTCCATATCTGGGAAACAGTATGACAACTTCTTGTGCCAGTCGTCAAGAAGTTGCTCAGGGCATTCATGCAACTGTCAGAATCAAAAGACTTAAAGAGTCATGGAGGAGCCATATGTTTCTGGCACTCTTCCAGTTCTTTCCATTCACATGTTCCATCTCTGACACCCCTCCTAGCCCTTACTGCCCACCCCAACACCCCACACTGTGATGCTGCCTTCCAGCCTCCACTTGGGCACCCCCTCTTGACTTGCACCCATCCCTTTCCACACACAAAGCCAAACATACCATCCTTATAGCATCGGTGGGGCTCTAGAAGGGAAACAATATTACCACTTGACTAACTTAAACTGTACCCATAATTGAGACTCCCCTGCATCATAATTAACATACCAGCTGGATTTGCACTTTTAAAAGGGGACTTTCTTTTTTTTTTTTTTTTTTTTCCTTTTTGTCTTTTTTCGTGTCTGGCAACGGATCGCAACCCTCAGTGTCGCGCCCGTACAGGACCGGGACCGGCAACAGGATTGCAACCCTCGGTGTTGCGGCCGCACCTCGCTCAGCCAGTGAGCGGGAACCGGTCTGTATGTGGGATCCGAACCCTCGGCGGGAGCACCGCCGCGCACTGTAGCAGTGCGCCACCGGGCCGGCCCCTTTGTTTTGTTTTTTTAATGATGACCGGTAAGGGGATCTTAACCCTTAACTTGGTGTTGTCAGCACCACACTCTCCCAAGTGAGCCACTGGCCAGCCCCATGCTAGGGTGGAGCGCCACTGCGCTCCCAAGCGGCACACTGTAGCAGTGCGCCACCGGGCCGGCCCTATAAGGGGACTTTCTAATCCAAAAGAATCTCTAATCTAGAGTGGAATGGGGAAGCAGGATGCTTTTTAATCTTGGCTTTCATGTAGACCCAAGCATCCAGAACCCAAACAAGCACTTTGAGTACTCATTGTCAAAAAGGTTCCAATTCCTGAACAGAAATGGGTTCTTGTTCACTATACTATATGTTCGTTATTATATAGATTTAGATATTTCATGGTCCAGAAAACAAGTGTTCTGAATCATGATGATATGCTAACTCTTTAAAGGAACATCCAGAAAAAGAACAGCAGCACAACCATAACATCTCATTCTTAAATGCAAAGGAGTAACACATAGTTCATGGAATTATTGGACTGCCTTTTGAGAAACAGAGACTTGCTTATAGTCCATGAGCCAACTTGTCCTCCCAAGAGGAAGGCCACTTTAATTACTGGATGATTTAAGGGTCTCTTAAAATGTAGACACCAGAAGTGGAAGTCTTACAGGGACCCAAAGTCACACAAACCTTTCTCTGCATAATTGATGTACTAAGGGAAGACAGCAGGAGATAAGGGAGTACCTACAGACATGGGGATGCAGAAAGCAGTCCCAAAGATGAAGAGGCAAAGACCATCAAGGTCCCTCTCAAATGGAATTCTGGCAGAGCTGTCAGAGCTGATAGGGGGAGCCCAATGCAAAAGAAGACTAGAAAACTACTGAATGGAGCCTATTCTCAGTGGCCTCTCAAGGTCCTGCCTAACCTCTCCACACCCTAACTCCCCAATCTTATTTCCTACTATGAATTAAACAAACTTACTCTCTTCTCAGGCCAGTCTCTTCAACTAGGCTAGTCGTTTCCAAGTCAGTCTCACCTTTGGGCCTTTGCCCATGCAGTCCTCTCAGTCTGAAATAACCTTCTCCTTCTCTGTCTACTCAAACTTCACATCCTTCCAAAGCCCATATCTCCCAGACTACTCCAGTTTACCCAAAATCCCTTTCCTGGAACTCCTAAAACTCTTACAGCTCACGTCACTCCATTCATCATTTAATTCCCTTCTTGCACTGCTTCCTAAATTTTACTTCTTACCACAACTACTAGATTACAAGATCCTTCAAGGCAGAGATTTTTTAATATTTCTCTTATATCTAACAGTACCAGCTTAGAATTAATGAGTGATCATCAACTACTTGTTGCTTGCTTGAATACTTCAATGGCAGCTTTAATTTAGTAAAGCACCAAAACTGGTGATTTCCCAGACTTTATTTGGTTACGACCAGGGCTACTGGCTGGTACCTCACAGCAAAATCAAGCCACCTAAAAACTAAGTTTAATTTAATTTAAAACTATATACTTACACATCATATACCACTTTTAGAAAGTGGACATCAGCATTAGGATAGGTAAAACAAACAAGCTAGGAATCCCAGATCCAAAACTACATCATTTATTTTTGGCTTCTTTTCTGAATTAGAAGATTTTTAAATTTATATTTGTACAACTTAGATGATCTTCAGATTTACTTCATCAGACACTGGGTGATATTTAAACTACCCATAGAGTTAAGCTCATTCATAGTCAATCACAAACACATGCGTTCTCTAGGAGACTATCTGGAAAACCAAAAAGCCAACTAATATAACTTTTAATGCTTCAAAAACTATATGCAACTTGTTAGGACTTGGGTTTGGGGAAATATCAGAGCAACTCCCTCTCCCCCTTATAAGTTGGTTTTATAACAGGTAGAACAGTATAATTTCAATGTTTAGCCTAGAGTAAAAGCTAAATAAAATTAGAAATATTCCTTTTGACACTGAAGAAGTATTTTTAAAGAAGCAGAGGTCTTACCTGTTGCAGAACACCAAAGAAATTTCTTAACACCAAAATGACTGACTCCGGAAGTCAAATTTGTTCGGCGCAGGTAGGTAAAAACAAAAGCAGCCCAAGTCTTTTCACTGGTGATTTTCTTCCAGGATCAACCTTTCTCTCCTCCCCAAGAATATAACTGATTCACACTGGAAGAACTAAAAATTTAAGAGTTGGGCTGCTAGAGGATCCAACCCAAGATGATTGGGTTTAGTGTGCGTGGTGACTGAGGCAGCAGGAACAATCCGAATATGACAAAAGAGATTAGCAAGTTCCTGTGCATAAGTCAGTTTCCTGTATCTGGCTTCTCCGCAGAGGGGGTTTCATTTGTGTGGGTTTAGAGCTGTGTGTGTGCACGTGCATTTCTCTCCATGAGAATATGAAACTTCCCCCGATATGAGGCAGAATAAGGACTTTGCTACACTGCTAGGTTTGTGTTTAATTTATCCTCCCCTTTTCCACCATTTCTCTTTCCCCCATCTCTCCATCTGCATTTTCTTATGTAAAACTGAGAAAAGGAAGAGTGAAAAACCAAGACGATTCCTTAAGGAAGTGAAATAAAGACTGACTGGTCTTGGTTAATTTAAGCTTAGGATAAAGCACCTTAGAACTGATAGGTCAGCATGGTGAACATACTAACTGTGGGGGAAAAACAGTAGGTGGGTTGTTCGCTTTGCTTTGCTTTATTAAGAGCTACCAAATAATAATTTGGAAAGAAGAGACTCAGCCACAGCGAAAGCTCCAGCAGCCCTGCCGTGCATTAACCCTTGTAGGGACTGGCACCTGTGTACGTGACTGTGAGTTGTTTTCAGACTCCACAGAGTTTCACTATTTGCCTAAAAACACGATTTTACTTCTTTTGTCCTTCTGTGCAATCCAGGTGTAGAGACCATCTGCAACTATTTAGATTATGGCTGAATGGCCTTAACCAACAAATTTACCTTTGATGATGCGATCACAACACCCCGTGCCCCAAATCCCTGAATAATTGTAAATGCTACTGCTAAGGATGATATCTTGGTCAAAATATGCACGTGCCATAAAGATAAAGTCAACTCCATTCAAGTCAACAAACATTTAGGGGGCCTATACTATGTGCAAGATACAGTGTTTAGCACTGGGGTGGGGGTGAGAAACACACTCAGAGACAGAATCCTGTTATGTGACTGATACTGTGCATAGAAGAAAAGCACAAAGACCAAGACAGAATTATTACCCATCCTTGCAGGGCCTAAATCCTAGATGAGCTGGGGAAGACAAACAAAAACATTAAAGTAAATGCAATAATTCCTAATTATGGTAGCCATTATCAAGGAATCAGAGAGGAAGCTGAGCTAGATGGCAAGGCAGTATCTTCATACTAGATATTTGGACAGCTGACATTTAAGCTGAGACTAAAACCATGTCTCTCAGCCCTGGCTGAAAATTAGAATTGTCTGAGAAGCTTTTTTAAAGTATCGGTGCCTAAGCCCCAACCACAAAGATTCTAGTTTAATTGGTCTGGGTTGAGGCCTGGGCATCAATGTTATTTTAAACTTCCCTGATTACTCTAAAGTGCCGCTAACCACTCTGATTGATGAGGAGGCAGCCTGTGGAGAGTAGGAGGAAGAACATTCCAAGCAGAGGCAAATAGCATGTGCAAAGGCCTTGAGGTGGGAAAGAGCTTGGCATGTACAAGGAAGTGAAAGAAGATTAATGTGTCTGGGTTGTAGTGATGGAGAGATAAATGATACAAGATGAGCATTCTTATAGATGGACACACAATTACCAAGCTCACAAGAGCTTGAACCTACGTGTCAATTTGTTAAGGTACAGTAAGAACTCAGTCTTCCAGGTGAGATCCTTGAGCCCCTGATGAGCACATTATCTCCTTCTAAAAAATTCTCCGTGGAAAGCCAGATTACCACAGTGATGTTATTAAGTGAGCAGAACACATGATTTGTGGATACTTTCTTTATTTACCTCTGGTTTTGTTCATCAAAGGATTTAGGGCACCTTGTAGAGATATACCTTAGCAAGATAAAACAAATTAAAAACAAGAAATTTAAAAATGAGGCCAAGAAAAATTAAGACAAAAATTAAGCTAAAACCAGGGGCAAGGTTAATACAGAAAATGTATGCCGTGTGGTTCTAAGCTTTTCATCAACTGGTATGAAGTGGGAAACACTGCCACAAAGAAAATTCAGTGCCCACTGGACAAAAATAGATGTGTTGCTCAGGATGGTAAGGTCTTCCTGGCTCCCTGGTGCTGACAATAAAGAGAAACTTTGCCCCTGGGATTTTCATAGAGAGGACATCCTTAGACTAAATGCACCCAGCAACAAGTTCTGTGAGGTGGTTCCTGACATTTTTCCTTAGTGTAGGCTGATTTCATCTTGCCAGAGTTTACTGAAAGCAATCCTAGGGTGTGCTTGGGGGAGAGTGCGGCAGGGGGTTAATATTGTGTGTGTATCCCACAACGCTGCTTTGATGTTCCAATGTAATCCAGAGATGAAGATTAACTTCAGAAGTGTTTCAGAAAATTCAAGACAAAAATTTTTTTCATCCAAGCTTCTAAAAGATTTGGGGCGACAAAGAGCCCAGCAAGAGATCCAGTGGTTTTCTCAGTGTCCCAGCTGGACACTGTCTCCCCTTGAGAAAGCAGAGGAGTCACAATGACAGCTGCCTGCATGGACAGACAGCCCCCAGCACCTCCAGCAGAAGGTGAGGCAAGGCTCTGCCCTTTGGGGAAAAAAATAAGAGGGCCGCAGGCATGATTTATAAGCACAGGGCATCAAGCCTTGTACATCTTCTGCACAAAAGGGCAGACATACTCTAGGGTCAGGAGGGATTGGGTGTGTCTGCAAGGCAGTGCCTTGCCACGTTCAGCTGTGAGACACCGTTTTGCTCCAGGCTCCCTGGCTATCCATCCTTACTCTTCTGAGACTCGCACTCTCTGCGTGGAACTGCATTTTTTAGAATGGTCTCATAGAGTCAGGCTCTGTGTTTCCTCCTGCTCCTGACTATGAGAAACCATTTTTCCTATTGCCTCTTACATACCTCTAATCTTCACATATAGTTTAATCTCAGAGGGGATTTTCTTGGGGGGAAGGGAGAAGGGACAACTGTCTGATTTTCTTCCTTTCCTGGAAATGTCTTTTTTGGTGTTCTCTCTCTGTCCCTTGTTCCCCTCATTCTTTTAATAGACACTTAACCGACAGAGGTAGTGGTAAGGGGAGGAAGCAAATGATTTAAAATACATGCACACACTTACAGACACACACACATACCCAAACCTCTCAGTGTGTCACTTTTGACACTCTATAGTCCAGCCCTGGGACATGGGTAGGGGATATCCTGGGGACATCAGAGTGGTGGGAAGGATGGAAACTATGGGTATGGAGTTCCTAATCAGAATCAGACCCTCCTTCCAGGAAGCCTTCTGTGACCACCACCCACCTCCACGATAAGCCCAGGTTGGGCGCCCTGCCCTGGGCTCCCCCAGCAGCATGTTGACACTGCCAGAGCACTCACCAAACAGGCCTCCAAGTCCATGTCGAAGGCCCTCCTGGCCTGAGGCCTCTCAGACACTGAGTAGTCACTTAACCACTTGCTGATCAATAGATTTATTCTCCCATCTAATCCTCACAGCTGCCCTATGTGGTAAACATTTTAAAACCTATTTTAACAGCCAAGGAAACGAAGACCTTAACTGGTTAAATGATTTGCAGGAAACCATATGGCCTACAAAAAGCAGAACCAAGATTCGCCCCATCCATCTGTCCTGAGAGCTGGGCCCCAAACCCAAAGGTCCTCTTCTCTGTCTTGAGTGCCCCTCCTCCGATATTCCCAGGCAAATGCAATGCCCCACAGGTTGAGGTTAAAAAGCAAAGACTTAGTTTCTCAAAAACACATTCATTTGAAATGCTCTCTGGTATGGCAAAAGAACAGCTATTTTTTCTTTAACAGTCCCCTAAGACAAACCTTCTTTTTTTGAGGGTTTTTAAATAATACGAAGACTGTCTGTGTATCCTGAACTTACGCTTAAGTGGTATTTCTTGCTAATTGCGAAGATGTTCTGCCATTTATACAAGACAGAACTCTCAATGGCAGTCGTAATTGTAATGAATAGTAAACCTTGGCAACCTTGGAACATGAATTATTTACTAAATTATTTCTAACCTGGATGAATAAGATGCCTCCCCCTCCTTCTTACTATTAGTATATTAACTGAAATGATTTAGATTTAGTGGGTAGCTTTTAATGTTTACACAGACCCTCATTTGTGATATGCCACCTAATAAAATATTTCAGTGGGTTCTGAAGATGGGAAATATGTATGAAAATCCTGTCTAAATGCTTTGAGTTTTAAACCCAGGGCATTAGTCGTACTGTAATTATTCTTACCCAGCTCCCCACTAAATGATAAAGAACTGTATTAAAACAAAATATTCCTTCTGACTGGGAGATTTCACGATGGGCATTGTAACTTACCCAGCTCCCCACTAAATGATAAAGAACTGTATTAAAACAAAATATTCCTTCTGACTGAGAGATTTCACGATGGGCATTGTAAAATAATAACTCTTCTTAAGAGAAAGATCTTAATTCTGATGTAACATTCAGTGTAAAAATACATTCATGTAAAATATCTTTTAAAATTCTAAATATCGAAATATCTTAGAAATGCCCCCCGGCTGGATATCATGGGTGAGTTCCTCCTTATGCATTTCAATTCATTGTAAACAACAGCCTCCCTAAGCAGATAAGAATATCATTTCAAACATCTTCTAGCTTCCCTCTAATTGCCATAACCATAAAAACATCATTTCCGCCTGCTGTTATTCTCATCATGTATTTTCCCTTTAAGTATTTTAATGTAACATACTGCTTTTTGTTTCAGTGAATACTAGGTTCTCAGGATTCTCAACTGCCGTTTTTATCCTGGTTTGTTTGCCTTGTATAACTGTGTTTATCTAGCAAACATTCACATCCTGGTTCTTTTTATTGCAGAACCATAATTCATAACAATGCAGGGCTTGTTGCAGAAGACGACAGTATCCAAAGTAATAATTCAAGCTGTGCCTCTAAAGTTATGGTACGATTTTTTAAAAAAACTGTCAGAGCAGAACTCATGTAGTCAAATGACCACTACTCTTCAAAACCGTCCCTTGGTAGTTGATGCACTTGTCCAACACTGAAGACATTAGTCAAAGCGCTTTTAGAACTTTTTTATAATATCTT